GGCATGCGTAGCACATGACCGAGCCATCGTAGTCGATGATGCTGGATGTTTTCCCGGATTGAGGTACCTGCAGCACAACCATATACCCGTTTTCTAATCGCCTCGTTACTGACACGCTGACGCCACCCACAACCAGCCACGCTTCTGAGGCATCGGTTGGTCGAAAACCTGAAGACGCCTCACATCATCTGTCCGCAGAGGCCATGTCTCGCACCCATACAACAACACAGCCCTTACTGTAGCCTGGTACACACGACCCTTAAGATCCAGTGAGATGCCTTTTTGACGCCACAAGTGATGCAAATTAGCAAACGTGATTCGAGCCTTTGAGATTCTTGCACTGACTTCATCAGACACACTTCCGTCAGAGCTAATACAACTACCGAGGTATGTAAAGTTTTCCACAATCTCCAATGGGAGCTGTGGTAGTAAACTAACCCAATAACTGATGGCAGCGGTACCGAATATTGCTACCGGTGATGATGCAGTCAGGAGGGAGAAAAGCTGGTGCGCTGGCTCGCACCGTACGGCGAAAATTAGGCTGCAGTCATTCAGCTGTAACACACATTCAGTTTCTAGCTGCCATGCCACCCGAAGGAAGCACGAGAGCTGGGACACTACCAGGTTGTCCAAGCCTAGACAGAGGAAGGTGAGAGGCAGAGAGCGGATTCGAACCACGGACCTTCCTGTCAGTAAATTCGTGATCTCGCTCCCTTAGCCCATAGACAGCCTTAACAAGGATGAAACAAGCAAGGGAATAGCATGGCCGTAGAAGGAACGTTTAACAAAAGGCAAAATAAACCCAAGGAAGGAAGCAACTGTTATAACAAGCACAACAACGAATGAAACAGGATGCGTGAATCTAAAACGGCGGAACCCAGAAGAGTCCCAGTAGCCCGATAGGGGCCAATCAACGGATACGACATCCTTCACAACAAAGTGGACAAAGGAAAGTGTAACCTGCACGCTGAAAATGTCGCCATCAAACATAAAATATTGATAGCACAACAGAGTGTCCGGACAAAATAAAGAAGTGGTGGAAACGAAGATGAAAATAAGATTTCCCATGAGGTTCATTCAAATGGACGAGCAACTCAACCTGGGAATAGAGATACGAAGCCTGGGCGATTAAATACGGAACGGAACGATGAGGGTTACTGATCTAGAGCTATCGGGGATAGAATATTTGAAACAGTCAGATGAACAGGAAGCTATTTGAGAGAAAGGAAAATGGTCGAAAAAAGCCGATTCACCTTACCTCGGCCTGGGTAGCTCCCAAATCAGTCAGCAAGATGGTGATTCGACCCTGATAGTCGGAAACAGAGGCAGGATGCCGCAAAAGCTGCAGGAGACAGGTCTTCAACTTCTTCCGTACGGTGCCCACTTGAACCACGGAGAAGTGAGGAGGTAGGGTGACTGTGAGGGGGGAAGCAAAAGCGATCGTGAAAAGTTCACGATTAGGCCAGTCAGTCATTAGCGAAATCGAGTATGACTTGGAAACCAACATCAGGTGACTGGCATCACTAAGGCCGGTAGGAAGCTTCACAGCAATAAGTCTGCAAAAGGCTCAGATGGCAGAAACTGACTAATATGACTTCGTTCCGAAAGGGAAGTCAATCTATGCCGAAAAACCAGGAATTTCCTCATGCTACCAAAAAACTGTCAGTGGCTTAGAAGTTGAGTGAACCTTCGATCCGAGAAATTTTCCATCGAGGAGCCAGCCAACACGTGACCATATGACGTGAATTCCATGATTGAAGGATGAGTGGTTCTATACCGTGGCTAACTTCAAGTTAGTCACAGTGCTGATCAGCCACTCATGGAGGAACGGAACTACTAATCAGAAGGTCGATGGTTCGAAATGCCCAGGAGTTACGTGAGATGTGCACTGCTGATAATCCCCAATAAGGAGGAAGCAGTTGTGATCAATACTTCTCGGGTTTTTAGTATGGATTGGCTTCACTCACAGGACCAAATCCCGATTGAACATTCCCGAACCTCCTCACACTACCAACAATATACACGGGGAAAACTTAAGATCACCTGCTTCTCATTGAGAAACATCCCCATTAGTGAGCGATTCATGAATAGTTAATTCGATTTGAAACATCTAAGTTCATTCGTTGAGCTTAATGGTACGCCACCCACAACCAGCCACGCTTCTGAGGCATCGGTTGGTCGAAAACCTGAAGACGCCTCACATCATCTGTCCGCAGAGGCCATGTCTCGCACCCATACAACAACACAGCCCTTACTGTAGCCTGGTACACACGACCCTTAAGATCCAGTGAGATGCCTTTTTGACGCCACAAGTGATGCAAATTAGCAAACGTGATTCGAGCCTTTGAGATTCTTGCACTGACTTCATCAGACACACTTCCGTCAGAGCTAATACAACTACCGAGGTATGTAAAGTTTTCCACAATCTCCAATGGGAGCTGTGGTAGTAAACTAACCCAATAACTGATGGCAGCGGTACCGAATATTGCTACCGGTGATGATGCAGTCAGGAGGGAGAAAAGCTGGTGCGCTGGCTCGCACCGTACGGCGAAAATTAGGCTGCAGTCATTCAGCTGTAACACACATTCAGTTTCTAGCTGCCATGCCACCCGAAGGAAGCACGAGAGCTGGGACACTACCAGGTTGTCCAAGCCTAGACAGAGGAAGGTGAGAGGCAGAGAGCGGATTCGAACCACGGACCTTCCTGTCAGTAAATTCGTGATCTCGCTCCCTTAGCCCATAGACAGCCTTAACAAGGATGAAACAAGCAAGGGAATAGCATGGCCGTAGAAGGAACGTTTAACAAAAGGCAAAATAAACCCAAGGAAGGAAGCAACTGTTATAACAAGCACAACAACGAATGAAACAGGATGCGTGAATCTAAAACGGCGGAACCCAGAAGAGTCCCAGTAGCCCGATAGGGGCCAATCAACGGATACGACATCCTTCACAACAAAGTGGACAAAGGAAAGTGTAACCTGCACGCTGAAAATGTCGCCATCAAACATAAAATATTGATAGCACAACAGAGTGTCCGGACAAAATAAAGAAGTGGTGGAAACGAAGATGAAAATAAGATTTCCCATGAGGTTCATTCAAATGGACGAGCAACTCAACCTGGGAATAGAGATACGAAGCCTGGGCGATTAAATACGGAACGGAACGATGAGGGTTACTGATCTAGAGCTATCGGGGATAGAATATTTGAAACAGTCAGATGAACAGGAAGCTATTTGAGAGAAAGGAAAATGGTCGAAAAAAGCCGATTCACCTTACCTCGGCCTGGGTAGCTCCCAAATCAGTCAGCAAGATGGTGATTCGACCCTGATAGTCGGAAACAGAGGCAGGATGCCGCAAAAGCTGCAGGAGACAGGTCTTCAACTTCTTCCGTACGGTGCCCACTTGAACCACGGAGAAGTGAGGAGGTAGGGTGACTGTGAGGGGGGAAGCAAAAGCGATCGTGAAAAGTTCACGATTAGGCCAGTCAGTCATTAGCGAAATCGAGTATGACTTGGAAACCAACATCAGGTGACTGGCATCACTAAGGCCGGTAGGAAGCTTCACAGCAATAAGTCTGCAAAAGGCTCAGATGGCAGAAACTGACTAATATGACTTCGTTCCGAAAGGGAAGTCAATCTATGCCGAAAAACCAGGAATTTCCTCATGCTACCAAAAAACTGTCAGTGGCTTAGAAGTTGAGTGAACCTTCGATCCGAGAAATTTTCCATCGAGGAGCCAGCCAACACGTGACCATATGACGTGAATTCCATGATTGAAGGATGAGTGGTTCTATACCGTGGCTAACTTCAAGTTAGTCACAGTGCTGATCAGCCACTCATGGAGGAACGGAACTACTAATCAGAAGGTCGATGGTTCGAAATGCCCAGGAGTTACGTGAGATGTGCACTGCTGATAATCCCCAATAAGGAGGAAGCAGTTGTGATCAATACTTCTCGGGTTTTTAGTATGGATTGGCTTCACTCACAGGACCAAATCCCGATTGAACATTCCCGAACCTCCTCACACTACCAACAATATACACGGGGAAAACTTAAGATCACCTGCTTCTCATTGAGAAACATCCCCATTAGTGAGCGATTCATGAATAGTTAATTCGATTTGAAACATCTAAGTTCATTCGTTGAGCTTAATGGTCAAGTGGTTAGAGCGCGAAGTTACTGACAGGAAGGTCCGTGGTTCGAGCCCGAACTCTGCCTCTCGACTTTCCCTGCCTAGGCTTGGGCAACCTGGAAGTATCCCACCCCTCGTGCTTCCCTCGGGTGGCATGGCAGCTAGGCACCGAAATGGTGCTACTGCTGAACGATTTTTTTTAACAAGTCACGACTAGCTTATCGGTAGATAAGTCGTGCTCATCTCCACGCGAGAGGAGCTCCAGGAGGGCGGTAAGTTTTTTTTAATAAGAAAGTCCAAGATTGTTTCCTGAGTGGCCACTAACAATCTTCAATTAGCAGACGATGACAGCATAAAAACAAAGTACAGCGAGCCTACCGTGGACCGTCTCGAACGACTGGACCACTCTATCCATAAACTGTGGACGCTGTTTTGCGATTCTAACCAGACAGTCCATAACGTCTTCCATCACTGGAGGGCTTATCGGTTTGTTGCCTGTTTTGCCTCGCATTGGTAGATCCAGGAGCCCGGAAAACAACCGTTCGGCCTCCTCTCCAAGACGACGCGGACGAACCAAGCAAACGCCAGGAAGCAATGTGGCCGAGGAAGCCGCCGTGCTGGCTTCCAAAACACTCTGGAGTTGTGCATTGGTCATGTCGGGAATTTGATCTAGGGAAATGTCTCCCTCGTTCTCCCGTGGGATGTCCGAATTCGGAAGGCGCCGTGAGTGTAGTATGATGACCGCCTGAAACAAACGGCGAAGGTGACAAACACACATACTCGTAAATACTCGTAAACAAGCGTACTCACGTAATTTCTGCCGAGAGTAAGGGTGGGAAGTGACGAACTGAACAAACCAATTTTCAGGGTAGCAACTGAGTTAGGCGTAAAAAAGCGAATGTACGTTTTCAGCCGATTTCAGTATGTTTGCTTGGAATGTGACCACGATCTTGACTCAGTCACAGCACTAATCGATTTGACGGCCTCTGCCTAACTACCGCCCGTCTGCACCACGCTGATTAGGACGAGCTAGTACGGGTACGAGATAGCCAAGAAGAAAAGGCTCGTCATTCATGCCACCTCTGGTTCTAAAGTATCAGGAGACAGACGATAAGCCCGTCGGTTTGCATGTACGACAGCACGAACAGGTTCGAATAGTAAGGCTCACCTCAACCAGACGGAGGACGCCTGTCCGAGCACTGTCATTTAGCGTGATGGGGCTCAAAAATCCAAAAGCCGACTGGCCAGGGACCGAAGTAGGTAAAAGGAGGCGAATAATTTCATCCTTCAAGCCGGCGACGCTGCGGAACGTTTCGAGTGCAACATCGGCCGCTGAGTCCGCGGGAATCCCAGTCGAACCGCCAATGGTGACCCCAGACTCGATGATACCAACCTTGACGGCGCGTGTCAGGGCGACACGGTAGATAGGGACCATGGAGAGCGTGAGACTTCTTAGCAAGCTGTACCCGGGTGGATCCTGTTGGATTGCCGAGGAGAATAGGTAGAACAGATTGCCAACTGCTTTTTTGACCAGAGTAGGGTCGGCCAGACTGTGAGAGCAGAGTAAAATCCACAGTGACAGTCGTGCTAACAAACAGGTAAACCAGAACTGATACATGTCAGAGTAGGGTAAGGGAGACAAGTGTGTGACCGATCTTCCTGACGAAATCTTTTTCAGTCGACTTCAAAAGAAGTTGCTAGAATCTCAAGCGCATATCACTTAATGCAAGTGTAGCCGAAGCCAGACTGAAAACGTATTATTCGCTCTATCAAAGGTTCTAAATAGTTCACAATGTAGACTATGGATGACATTGCGTGGATGTTCATTGGGGCTCTCAAATTTGGGCTTGAAACAAACAAAAAACATGGAAAGAGGAAGCCAACGGCCGAAAGTCTAGTAAATTACAGTTTAAATACACAAAATCGTTCATAAAATAAGTGGAAGCGGCACGTAGTCAGCATTTTTTAAAGGGAGTTGAGTTAATTTACAGGTGGTTACAACAACGACTGAAAAAAGGAGAAAGATAGGAAATAAGTTCGAAGATGGTCGAACAGCATTGTCCCAATTCCGTCATTTAACCAACCGAAACAGGGAGCTCGCAGAAGTTTATATAAAGAAGGTGCTACATTTATTCACAACTTACGACATCATCAAGACAAATAAGCAGGATATCTTGAACAGCAGTTCATCTGGTCATAAAAAAGCTTTTAGGCCGTGTATCCTCAGAAATGAGTATGCAGCTAGCAATTCGTGTGTGATTTCGAATATTTCTGAACGAAACAAAGCTCAGGGCTTCTACTTTTCAAAGATGGGGCTGAAGGTATGACATATGTTCTCACAGGCTTCCTGGAAACTGTAGAGGAAAACTGGCAGGTATCGCATGATTAATGCCTCCTGGTTGGTGTTGTCACAACCAATGCAGGACGAACAGTCATCAACCTAATGAATGGGCCTCCCAGAGGAGAGTTATCAATAAGTTAGGGGGAAGGTGAAGAAAACGTATGTGAAAAAGGAAGGAAGGCGTCAGCAGTAGCCTTTTTTCGCTTACATGCCTTGCTGTATGCATCAAGGAAAGCGCCCCGCCCGATGTGACATGAGAATATTTAAGTGTGCAATTCATGGCTGAACGTGGGCGGAGATACTGATATGATCCCCACACCTGGACAGGAGGACGATTAGGGTCCTCAACCAAAGCCTTCGGCTCAAAACCCTGACCGCAAGGTGTCTGACGGGAAATGCAAGAGCATTAACGTTTTTATAGAACAAGGCACCACATATGTTCGAAGCCCCAACCTGGAAGACCAGGAAACGTTGTTGATCGGACCTCTAACCATTGAACAATCTAGTATGAGACTCTGCAAGTGTCGCACGGACACCCCCAGCATAGCTCAGTGAGTCGCAGGGGCACAAAAACCGTCAAACCACATTAAGGTCCAGTCACTTCGTGACAGCCTCAACCTAGTAAGTTTAATATGCTGCTCTGATGAATCAGGTTTATTACCAAGTATCTGCGACCACTTCATTGTGCTCCCGCTGCAGCCACCTAACGCTTGCAGTGCTACGGAGACGGCAGTGATCAAAAACCTGAAGAAGCCTAATATCCTCGGATCGCAGGAACCAGGTCCCACAACCAAAGGGCATGGCTGCTCTTACAGTTGCCTCGTATACATGGTCCTTCAGCCCTAGCAAGATTCGGTTCTGACTACACAAATAACGCAAGTTCATGAACGCTTCTCGCGTCTTGATTATCCGCGCGTTGCAATCTGTTGCAATACAATCACGACTTATGCAGCTCCCAAGATATGTGAACCGATAAACAAACTTAAGCTTTCGATTCCGAACTTTCAGAGAAGTACTTTTCACTTTTGAGTTCTGAAACGTATGCCGAAACCTGGGATCACCTCTTAGCCGGGTTGAAGTACTTTGCGCATACGAATAGTCGTCAAACAAAAAAAGACGTCATCTGCCCAATCCAAGTTCATTACTCTCACTTATACGTGATTTCGACGCACAGATTCACAGTCCCTTAGAATGCGCACTTTATGGTAAAGCCAACGACCAAATCGAACAAAAAGAGGAGGGACAGCCCTGACAAACCCCACCAATTACCAAGAGGCTCCTGGACAGTTCGCTGCATTCCCCAACCCGAACGGAGGTATGGAAATAAAAGATACGAAAAATGCTTACGAACTTCAAGGGGATCCCCTTCTGAATGAGAATATTTGGGAGAGGCAATCTGTTTAGAATCGAAGGCCGCTTTAGATTCGAGGCAAACCGTGATCGTTGACCAGCGGCACACGTGGCGCTGCTCATGCACTTGATGTGACGTAAAGACATCGTCGACGAAACATGTGCCAGGTGGAAATCCCGTTTGGCGCTCTCAGACTTGCGTCTCAAGTAGCAAAAGTAGATGTTGCGATTTGAGGAAAGCCAGAAGCCGTGCCACTTCAGCCATGAACCTTATACCTCTATGGTTGGAGCAGTCGGTGTGAATACCTTTTTTGAACTCTGCAACTCGACTTCTCCTGTCTAGGCTCGAGAGACCTGGCAGTACTCCAGCCCTCGTTCTCCCTTCGGGGGCCTGACAGCTAGGCACCTTAAAGGTGTTACAACTGGACGATTATCTTATTTATTATACTCTTTTTCGAACGGGGGTATGGCCGACGATTGGCCCAATTCCCTGGAACACGTCCTTGTTACCTAATACGTACAAACAACCTTGTCAAAACGGAACAAAAAAAGTCACCTTCATCTTTGAACGCTAAAGAAGGCTCATCTGGTCCACAGGCCCGACGGCACTCCATCCGTTGAGTGTAGGTCTAAACTCGGAGAGTACGGCGCAAAATGAAGGGGTCGCATGAAAGACAGTCAGATGGCCAACCAAACAACTGTTGAAAATATTCCACCCAGCGATCTAGACTTTGGACTTTACTACATATTGGATTTCCATGAACGGCTCTGAACGAGGCACGCAGTCATGATCAGATGTGACAGTGTGTATGGGATTTGGTGTTGGAAAAGTGGATGGCTGGACCGTTTGAAGAGCCGATGGCAAACTAAGATTTCATGCCAGAAGACCGTAATGGCCCAAAACCAGACGTACGTAAACGGCCCGAGTCAACAAACTGTTTAAGAACAATTTACCGAACGACAAGTTCCATGAGAATGCGTCGCACTTCTCACACCCGATGCTGACATGGAGGGTTGTTCCACTGAGCCTATAAAGCCGAAAACATACTGCCTAACGCATGTTGGAAGTCCAGAAATGCCACAGCAACAATTTGCAACGGAAAACTTCGTACGGAGAATCGCAGACTAGACGGTTGTAGACATCACAAAGAAGAGGATCGCCCTACACCCAGTATTCAGTTGACAGAGGGTAGCAGGCAACGACAAATAACAAGACACCACTTACCATGCGTCTTGAATGAAACTGATGACCACCTTGCGTACACCCAAACTTGTATCATGTTGAAAGGCAGCAACTTCCTGTGAATAAGTGTGGTGTGTAGTGCGAAATTACCTCAAAAAAATTGTCCAATAATGAACTTTCTTGATGAATGGTCAACTCTTTGACGCGCAAGAGTTTAACAACTTTCTGGTCCACATCATCTGTTAGGGATGCTTCATTCAGAAGGGCAACAATCTAATGAACGGTGGTTAAAATGTAAGATGAAAAAACGTACGCGGTCAAACAGTGAAACCGGCATCCGGACGACAGCCCCAATGTGGATACTGCAACCTGGAATTTAGCGCTGGATAGCCACAAGCACCTACAACAAAGGTAAAGTGAATATGAACCGTTAAGGAAATTGTAATAATAAGAATAAATCTTAAGCTATTTGTCGGTTGTACAAAGGGTAGAGGTCTTCACTAGAACAAGAAACTGGCCCCGGTAAGTCATTTTTAATGACCGTATTAAACGGCATCCTATCAGCTCAAAATTAAGAAGCCTTTTACGGCGTTGTTAATTATGGTACTGCACAACCAGTTATGGTATTGTCGAAGACATTCATTCACGAGAACAGCTGATAAGATGTGCATTCCGTGTACAGTGGCATTCCTTACAAAGAAGTTAAGGGGTAGGCGGGGTTGGATGCTCTCACTATTCACTTAACAGGATTGAATAAATTGGTAAAACATTATCATTATCACCAACATCATCATCAATATCAGTTGTAAGAACCGCGTAATTCTCGTAGTGGTTCTAACTGCCACAGTTGTGTGGTTGTGAACTTGGCCTA